CTCCCTGAGAGCAACACATGTGTGACGTGAGGCATGCAAACTACCAGTGCCCACGAACCCAAACGGAAGGAGTAAGACAACCTGAGAAAATGGAATAAGCAAAAACAAACAAAAGCCAAAGATGGAACTACAAGGTTGTTGCAGTTTCCAGTTGTCCCTGTGTCCCAGCTACATCCTGCCCTTCCCTACTACACGTTAGCCCACTAGTCACATGATAATTGGTATTTCTCCCCACTTATTGAAGTTGGAGTTGTCATTTATAAACAAACAATTCTTAAGTAACATACGAAACCACTGATCTATAAGCTTACGGAAAGAGGACTGTGTCATGCACCTATCACCCACAGTGCCTAAAATAGGACCTGGCACAGGGTAGATGCACAATAGTTTGTGCAATTAAATCTTATTAAGCATTTCATATGTTATGATAAAACAAAAGAAAAAAAAAAAAGGAGTAGCGGGAATAGAAAAAGTAGAGAGGAGTCGAAATAGGGAAATGTGGGACAACCCAGAGACACGTCATCAAAGAAAAGAAAGGAGTAATGATAACATAATCTCTTGCTTCTCCCAACTTTGACCAAAGAAGCCCAGAAATGATCAGGACTAACTCAGCTGGCACAGGGAAATAAGGTAGTAGAACAGGAAAACAAAAGAGATGTCAAGAAAAGTAGGAAGTTTAGAAAAGGGAAATCAAATGAGTTAAGAATTGCTATGAGAATATGATGAAAAAGCTCCAATTAATAGGACAAATTAAGGCATAGAAGAGTAGAGAAGCTGGAAAAATTGTTGTAAAGATCCTAGTATGTATTCTTGGCCAGTATCTATCAGCAACAGTAGCCAAGGTAATATGCCAGATTTTATACATAATATAAACTCAAAAATCATTGCTACTTAGTGTTAATAAAAACAATGAACGTGCCTCTAACAGATTTCAAATTCAATAAAATATATGCAGCAATGCAGCAATACTATATTCACTAAAATTCTATTCAGGTGTTTTTCAAATAACTATTATATAGTATTTCAACTATCAAACGATATCAGAAAAAGCTGTTACCATTGAAGCGTTGCATGGGTGTTTTGCTAAATCTATGGTGCTTCTTGATGCTCTTAGCTGTTTTTCACGTTCCCGGCGATTCTCTGCCTTCTTCCTGGCTCCCGTCTTTTTTTTAGGCATTTTCTCCCTCTTTCTTTACAAAAGAACAGAGACAGTATATGATTCCTGGTTGCATTTGCTATTTTAAATAAACTAAGAAATTTATTCTCATTCAAATTCTAAATTCAACCCTGTCAATTACTTGCACTACCAAACAATTCTAACAAATGTAAACAAAAAAATTTTCTGAAAAGCCTAGTTTTCTTTCCCACTGGGAAAAAATAGTTTCCCTGATGTTAAGTATTCTTTAAAAATTACTCTATAGCAAGTTAAAAATATACATGTTAGGCAAATATCATTAACAAGAAATCATTAAAAGGTGTATTATTTACCCAGTTTATATCACTTTTTTGAGCTATGTATTCAGACTTGATGCTGCCAAAGCTTTAAGTACAATAAATCATATTCCTCCTATGTAATATCTAAATAAAATATCTAATATAGTCAAGTCAAATGACAACATTAAATACAAACTATTCTCTCTGAAAAGATATTAAAGGTATTAGTTGCTTTTACTCTGAAAGCTGACCTTCTCTCTACATGCAGTGTCTTCACTTAACATCATCGATGCGTTCTGAAACTAACTGAAATGACCTGTAACAAAACTAATTTTACCACTGGCAACTTGATAGAAAGAACAGTTAAGTTCCTAGCCATCTCATGAAAGTTATAACGAAATGACCTGAAAGAAACATTATTCCAAGACCTGGTATAATTTTAACAGGGTTCAAATTTATGTTTAAGGGCATATAGCTACCACATATATTGAAATAATGACTTTAAAACTGGCTTCTGTCACTTAGTTGCGAGAACCAAATTTAGTAAAACAAGATTTTTACTAAATAACACATTTTTATTTGGTTTTTCATCAATCTGAAAACTAGAAGTTCCCTAGGGAGTCCAGTCCTATCTTTCCACAGTGCCTTCCAGCCCTGCCTGGAATATATTAAGCACTCACTAAATGAAGAGCTACACTAAAGAACGAGTCTATGTGCTTGCTGTGAAATCTCTCAATTTTCTTAATATTCTTCAAAATACGTATTTTTAAAGTCTCTTTTAAAAGCGATTCTCAAAGTTCAACTCTTGATATTTCTAGCCCCTACTCAAGAACTACAAATTCTAAACCTCCAACATAGGCTCAAGTTTCAGTGGTTACTGTGACACACACACCTCCCTGAAGACATAAACATTCGGATTCAAGGAAACTAAAGTGTATCCATGATACATGGAGCGAGTTCCAAGAAAGCGCACCTCGAAAGAGATTTATATTTCTTATTCAAAGGGGCATATTACAATATAGCAAAATCATGCACCAGCTTGTACCTGACACAGCAGGAAGGTCACTCATAAAGTTTTCCTACTTTGGGTTTCAACTCTTATGTTAGAAAATCCAATCAAAAACCAAGTGGTGGGACGTTGCGACTTAAAAATATGGACAAATTAAGCCAGGAAATTTAGTTAAGTGGTTACTTGATAAATGTCCAAGCCCTCTAAGTCACCCTTTCAGTATATCAAATGACGAAATCTAGGTGGAAAAAAAAAAAAAAGTGTACTGTGATGGCCAAAGGAGATCAGAAAATCATACGGATGAATTTTCTGAGTTCCTAGGGATGAATCCGCTGAGAAAGTTGAGCCTCGATTTCTTTTTCTTCAGTCTGTCTTGAAAATTTAAAGGGTAAATTCTTTTTTTTTTTTTTTTTCCCCAGCCTTACATGGGTTTAAGCCTTTCTCCACTAACGCTCTGACTTCTTCAGGACGTAGCCGGTGTCACTAAATAAGGACACAGGCGCGGGGTCCCTGCAGCCGGGAGACCCAGAGGGGTGGAGGGGGCGTCCAGAGGAGACGCGGCGGAGGTGCCACGCGGCTCGGGGAACCGACAACCGTCACCCGCCCGCGGAACGCCCTCCCTCGCGCGCGCTCCGGGCCGACCTCGCTCACCCTGACGGGGAGGCCGGGCTCACTCCGGGGCAGAGGGGCAGGGAATGGCGTGGTGCCGGCCCGCGGCAACAGCAAATGCAGCCCGCTGACCACGACTCCCCGGGGGCAGAAGCTACTGAGACCCACGCAAGGAGGACCGAGTCAGTTTCGGACACTAGGAGCGGGACCGGATGTCCTCTTACGACAGCAGCGTCCTTACGGCAGCACGTTGACAGAAAGGAGTCCGCCCCCTCTCTTCGCTCCGCCCCCTTTTGTTCGCTCCGCCCAGGCCCCGCCCACTCCCGCGGGGGGCGGGCTCCCAGTCCCGGGATGAGGACCCCGCGGGAAGGAGCAGACTGATAGAAAAAAAGAGAAAAAGTGGGGAAGCGGGAGGAAGGGGCACTGGAAGACTCGCTCCATTTTATTCTTTTCAGAAAAGGAGAAATCCAAAGGAAGAGAAAATCTGGAAGGAAGAGAAAATCTGGAAGGAAGAAGTCAGTGAACTCACAAACTTAGCACTGTATCCGTTGACTCATACGTTAAAGTCTTGCTGAATTCTTTTGCAAACTTTCCGCTACCTACAGCCTCACATTCCACTCTTCGTGTTTTCTGCACGAGCCGTGCTTTGGTTGCCTGGTGATTAAGTTCTACCCTCCTTTGTCTCCTATTTCTACTGTGCCCTCTGGAATTCCATTCTTTTGTAAACAAATTCTCCTACATGCGGGGCCTCTAGTGTGTGCTTCCCTGTCTTTAACTGAAACCTAACATCTTCTCCTTGGCAAAGACGGCTTTAAATGTCTCTGGAGTGAAGGGTGCTCATTTCCTCACACTTCTTTTAACTCTTGATTAGGAGGTAGGGTCCATCCCTTTAATCCCCAGTGCCTCACTCAGATCATCATTTCTCCTTTCCATGTAGCCATTCCGCTATTTAACCTTCATCATTGCTATTTTTTTTTATCCACTCCTTATTGATGGAAAACTTTGGAACCTGACTTCCAAGTTCTACCATCACCCAGAGTTTCTTAAAATCCAAATGAAAGTCCCATTCTCTTGGGATCTTGATTTCTTCATCTCTCACAGCCATCACCTCCACTCCACTACAGGCATCTATTCTTGTGACCACACTCCAGGTCTTGTCATCAGGTGGAAGCGCTCCTGATGAAATCCCAAATTCGAGCAGACTAACCAACCTCCTATCTTACCAACGCTCTCACTTGATTTTCCCTCCTAACGAAGACTTTGAATCTCTTGACCCTTCTGGTTTCTTCCTATCGATCATCTCTCTGCCTTCTTCCCTTCTTTTTCCCTCAGTTCATAAAACGCAGTTTATCACATCGATCGCATTTGCTTTATTTTTTTTTCTGATCAAACTAACTGGAACATTCCCAATTCAACAGCTCGCTTGAATTGGGACTTCTGAGTGTTGTTAAGGGGGAAAAAAATACACAGTTAAGATTTTTCTCTAAATCCAAAGTTGTCAACCTCCACAAGACTCACGAAATTGCTCTTCAGTTCTGTATTTTCCAAATCAATCTATCATTTCCATTATCCACATGGCTTTACCAAATCTCTTTCTTCACCCTTCCCATCACTTTGTCAATTTCAGCAGCTATCGTTGCCTCCTATTACACAGAGAAAATAGAATAATATCAATATTGGCAATATTTCATTTTGTGCTCCTGGTATTCTGATTACTTTACATGTGCAGTATTAACTCTTAATTTTACTCATGAGGAAACTTGGGCAGAGACACTATACAACTTGCCCCAAGATTACACAGATGGCTTGGCTTGTGGTATTGTCTTTGCAGCAGTTCTTAAACTTTTTTGTCTCGGGACTCTGTAAAAACGCTTAAAAATTGAAGACTCTACCAAGCTTTTGTTTATGTGTATTATGCCTATTGATGTTTACCACATAAAAGTTTTAAAAGAGGTAAAAGTCAAATATTAATTCAGTAAAAATAATACTTATATCGCATATTAGTACAAATAACATATTTATATGAAAAATCACTATATTTTCCCAAACAAAAAAAAACAGAAGACTGGTACTGTTTTACAGTTTTTCAAATCTCTTTAACATGAAGCTTAATAGAAGGCAGGTGAATTCCTACATCTGCCATCCTATTGAGAAATGTTTAGATGTTCTCATTTTCCCAACATATAGTTAGATAAATCGCAGAGATCCTCTGGGGAAGAACTGGGGGAATTATTATGGCGTAACTTTTATGATATTTCAGGGCCTTCCTCCTGAGGATCTAGGCTTTTCTCTGTTGATGGTTTCCATATCCGAAAACTGGCTCAGATATTAAAAATTGGGCAAAGAATTCATTAATGGAGTATTGCTCTCCGGTGGCCATGCAATGCTTGATTTCTTTTGATTATACAGACTGAGCGGTATCCTTGTTTGCTGCTCATCTGTTTCGCTCCTGGGGACTCCATACTCTATCATCCATCTCCTTAATCTTTGGAAGATCAGGCCCTCTCCTTTACCGTCACTCATCCCTTGCCACTGATTAGAATAATTGTGCCAGGTTACATTGTAAAGAAAGCCAAGTTATTGATCCAGTGGCCAGGAGGAAAGCTGAGGGCAGATCTTGTACTACAAGAAGGAGGCCTCTGCATCATTTCCAAGCAAGCTAGGGAGGGGGGAGCACTATCCATTAAATCAGGAATATGGACCATGTTCAGATTCAGAGGGTTCAGGAAAATCTGGAGATTCAGGATTGTCAGGTGTCACAATGCAGTCCATTGCATCAGGGTTTCTTTCCAATCCAGCATTCTGACCTTGGCATAGCCGACCTAACTAGGCTGCATGGTTGTTAATCTCCCTTGGAACTCTGCCACACTTATAATTAAGTGCTGAGCCTGTTGCTCAGCTTTTTCTGCCCTCCCACTGCAGGAGATAAAAGTCTCTATTTGCTACCAAAAAGGCCTTCTGAATTTTCCTCTAAGATTTTTAATAGTCGTTAACTGTTCTCAGCTTTTCGCTTTTTGCAAAGAAGTGATTTTGCTTAGCAACAGCCAATTTCCCTGTCCTCAAGATTACTATTTCCCTTATATTTCTTAAATGCATAATACATCACACCCACTCACGTACCAGTATCCCTCGCTTTTCGAAAGTTCGCATTACGCCACTTTGCTTTTACAAAAGACATACGTTAGTACCTGTTTTCACTAACAGAAAGAACTCTGAAGAGGGTTTTGTGTTTTTTTTTTAATGAATAAAGAGAAAAGAGTCATTAGCATTTGTTTTGCAGGGAGCCCTTATAGGCAACCCATAACCTGTGCAGTGAGAGTGGTCCCGACAAGCTTTCTCCCCGGGAACCGCATTCAGAATCTCAGCACGAAGCACCATAACTCTGAACTGTGTCTGTGAGCATCTGTGCTTTATCTTGATTTATTTTGTGCATCATTAGCAAGATATGTCCTAAGGTATCGGAAACGTCTGAGTGTTCATAAAGGTGCTACTCTACATGTAAAACTGGACATAATTAAGTGTTATTTTAGGTTTTATGTGTTATTTCAATGTGATTTGGTAGGTTATTTTGGGTGTCTGGGAACACGCAAAATAATTTCCATATAATTTAATGACAATTACTCCCTTGCTTTATGCCATTTCAGCTTATGGAAGGTTTTATTGAAACACTCTACTTTGGGATAGCAGAGGAAACCTGTATTTCCTTTCATTAGAATACGTTCCAGTTCACTACTGATGAAAGTTTTACTTACTGCACTGCTACCTTGTGCCAAGATCTGTCCGTCCTCCATCTGTCACTGATGAGGAGGTCTCATTGACAAGCAGCTGTCCAATGATTCAGGTCAAAAATCCCATATTAGCTTCTCCCCTCTTGACTCATCCCTGACATCTTAGGTTGGCTTCTCTGGAAAAATACTCTGAGTCAGAGGTGTGTGTAGAAAGTCTATCAGAGAATGCCTTGGGAGCAATACCTGATGAAGAGATGATAGCAGAATTTGACACAGGAAAGAGTTGGTCTGCAATATAGTCTCAATGAAGGCCTCGACTGTGATTCTGGGATGTCCATTTAGAGTTAAAGGAGTGGGCTCAGCCTTTATGCACCTGTGACATCAGTCACTGGATGTGGGCTGACTCAGGAAACTGATGTAACTTTGGCCCTTCCTCATGGTCAGTCCTGTCGCCGCTTGCTCCTTGAGACCACGGGCCCCCATGGTCTGCAGTGTGTCCTCCAAAATACTCAGTGAGGTATTGTCTCTGTAGCTCTAGGGACTCTGGGACACATTTAAATCAGACTGGATAGATAGAGGTTATACTGTGAAGGCTCATAATGGTCAAAGCATACACTTTTTCACACTTCCTCTCTGTTAATTTCTTCCTTTCCCTTTAGGATTGATCATTATTACAATTCTGCCTGAGCGCAGAGCTTCAGATGGAATGAGTTTTTTAAAATTGATTAAAATATTGACAATAAAGGTTATACAGCAAAGTCAAACTGCCCTGTCTTACAAGCCTGAAAGCTCATTTACTGTTAATTTTGAACATAGAATGTGATCTTTATCCAATACAGCCATCTGGATGACAGCAGTTACCAGATGTCCAAAAAAGTTAAAATAAATGAAAAGAGTTAAAGGGGTAGTCAATTCTATTACTTTCCTACTTGAGCATTAGTAGAACAATGTATAGATGACCTTCAGTGCCTTTAAAACAGGCTCAATATGATAAAGTTGAAGTATATTATTGATTATACTTCGTGGAAATAACAAGGCATTATTAAAAACGGAATTAGATAATTTCCTAAATAGGAGTATTAAACATGCTAATCTTGATAAGTATCTAATATCAGATACATAAATATTGACTTAAATTATAGTTTAATTTTTCTCAGAATAGAATCAAATTATAGCTTCAATAAGGGTTTCTTGAAATAACAAGCATAGATATGTCTCATTTCCAGCTGCTTCCATAATTAGCCATGATAAGGCAAAACATTTTAAATTGCCAGACGTATAAAATATATGTGATTTGTTACTGTGATTTTTTTCTAAAGCCTGCTACTTAAAGATGTTAAGACGACGATTAAAAATTACATCAAAACTAGATATGAAATATACCAGTCAGGAACTGAATTCGGCTGCACGTAACCAAAAACCCAAATAATAGTAGATTCGACAAAATACTTTTTCTTTTTCACTTGTGTTACAAGAAGTTCAGGACAGGTACAGTGGCTCAAGAA